TTTTCGGCTGTGCTGGTTTCCAAGAGAGGCAGGGTCCTCTTTATGGCTGCTAATTACTCCTTGTCCTCAGTGCCAGGTCAAGCATGTGCCTGGAGAGTCAGGCCTCACTTCAGGAAGGGCTGGAGGAGGATAGGGGGGGCAGGGAAAGAGGGAAGAATGTTAATCTCCCCCCCCCCCCCCCCCCCCCCCCTATGAAAAAGTCCTAATTCACTGGTCCGGCACCCCTCCTCCTGTCAAATGAAATGGTGCCGTCTGGAGTCACACAAGTGTTGTTGCAGAATGTGTGTATGTATGTGTGCATTTGTGGAAATTGAGGGTAGATGGATAGGTTAGGGGAATGGGATCCACCACAGTTTTGGCACCGAGCCGAGAGCCGGATTATGAATCTGGCACTCAAGCTACTGTTTAGAGAAGGGGAGAAAAAAGGTGGAAAGAAAGCGAAGCGAAGTGAGGTAGGGAGGGGACGACATTTGCAAAACCACACCATGCCCACTTTTCTCTGTAACAGTTGGTTGTAAAACAGTTGGTGTCACCACACATTTTGAAATAATTCACACGTAAACTACTAGTACTTTTATGAATTCATTATCCTTCTACTGCTGCGACCTCATCCAGCCCATGTCTGACAAAACAAACCCATAAAAGGCTGAAGACAAAGTCAACCGCTCGTCTTTTATCACTCACTTCACATCAAAGATACAGCGCTTTGCTCACTCATTTGTTCAAGTTCCCACTGTGCACATGGCACATTGAGAAGACCTACCTGTGGGAGTAGAAGTGGACACTTTACACCTCATCCATTTAAGAGTTTATCTTTCAGAAAAAAAGAGCTTTGAAGCATTTAAGAGGGTTTCATAGCAATATACACGGTTGAGTTGTGTAGAGTTTTATTTACTAAGTCTATGTGCAGTAATTGACAGTATTGCTTCTTCTGTTTTGCTTTGCTCCGTCACATGGAATTTAGTAAAAGCAGCAGAAAGGTGACGGCCAACCGGCAGAGAGCAAATGTACACAAGACCGTGTCATGTAAACAGTTTCTGTGTACCCTGCCTCTTGGATGTGAGGGGCTGTGGTCAGAGGGGGAAAGTATTTTTAGCATCCGGTGCCAGAGGTGTTGGTCTCTCGAGGCATCTGCCATGCTAAGTGGGTAAACATCTCAGCTTAACAAGGTGGGACTCGCACCCATAGGATGCGGTCGGGACAGCTTCCGCTGGAAGGTCGACTGCCGGGGACAGAAATCCATGAATGAAGGTGTGCAAGGACATGTGAAAGATGGAGGGAAATCGAGCTGATGATGTTTGTGCCCGTCTGACAGTTTTTTTCTCTCTCTGAGAAAATGTCTCTTAGCATTAGGCGAGTCATGGGCTTTATTGGGGAAGACATTTGCTGCTCCCAGATGGGTTTCCGATGGGTCTATTATTTTGCAGTTGGCGTCTTGAGCGAGATATATTATGCTATCCTTTCACCTTCCTCCTTGTTTCCTGTAAGCTGCTAATTGGCCCTCTCCACCTGGCTCACCTCCAGATGACCCAGAAGAGGCCCCCGTGGCCGCCTTCAGATCAATCACGGGATCTAAAAACTTGGGTGGAAAAAATAAATATAACGGATTTTGCATGAGGAAAAAGGACAATGGAAAATGGAAATGAGAAAGTGGAACGGTTTGACGATATGACGAGCTGATTGATGGAAGGAAAAGAGTGGTTATCAGGGTTTGGAACGAGGGGCATCCCGATGACGATTGTTTCCTTCCCAAAAAGCGGCTGATCTTCATGGGATTAGTTTGTGTCAGTGTGGATTAGCAAAAGCAACACTCCTCAACAGGGGTCGTGACACAGTTAGCATCGACTGGATGCTCTTTACAGACCCCCCCCCCCCCCCCCCCCCCTTTCCTTCCCTTCTTTCCCTGTGGTGCTGAGCTGGCGGTTACTATGATGCTGTTATTGTTATTATGACAGCCATATTGTTTTGATGTTCTGTGAATGTAGGCTGCCATTGCCCAAAGGAACTAATTTAAATAATCTATCACGATTCGTGTGCTGTTGTCATCTGTAAAGTAATGAAATGGCTGTGGCTTGACGGAAACATCTAATCGCTCCACTGCCGGTGTTTATCTGTTAGTGTTCAGACACTTAAGTGTGGGGACAGACTTGACAAATAGGTTTAAGAGCAAGACCAGCATTATGAGCACCTTTGCACACAAAGTGACACTGAAACTAGAGCTTCCATGTTGACAGGATGATGTTAGAGTACTGTTACACCTCTATGAGTGTTACGATAATATGAGGTAAGATATGAAGTGTCACCATCAGAGTCTCTAGTAGAAGGGCCTACGCAAGGTTGTGTCCATATAAGGAAATGGGGAAACTGTGGTAGGGCGAGACTACACGAAGATGAGAACATGAACGTGATCAACCGTCGGCAGATCTTTACACTGTGGCTTGGGTTCAATGTGACATATACCGTAAGCTCCATCATTTAGACAGTGGTCGTCGTGTTTAATTGTTCGACAATTACGCTATTTCCGTGCCTTGTATGGGCTCCGTCTGTGCAACCGTCAGTGATCGATTGTTTTATTTCCCATGGGAATAATGTGCCGTTGGCTGTTGGCTGGTCAGAGGGAATTACTGCAGTGTCGAAGCAGAATCGTGTGGCTTTTACAGAGAACATTTGCGGCTCTCTGAGTAAAGGGCAACAACTGTGAGCTTTGCTTTTGGTCAACCATAGTCCTTGTTAAACATGTATTGAATAAAAACGCTTTAAGTGCCGGTTTATGCGTCACTTGCGTCTCTCATACTGGTGACTGAGAAACCGTAAATGCCTGTGCCTGCCTCACTGACACAAGGAATTTATAGTGAACGGAGTCCTTTGCTTTAATGATGTATCTTCTGACATCTTTACTCAACTTTTCAGTTTGTCGTTGGCATTCACGCCCCTTATAGACAAATAATTGATAACGATGTAGAAGACAGTTTTGATTCATGACAGATCAATTTGAGCATTTGTAACAGAACACTTTGTCATTCCGACAAATGATTACCCCGTTGCAGAGCGCTCAGAGGAGCTCATTAAATGAACCTCCTTCATCACCTCATGGTGAGTGATGGAACATTTTCTGGCCAGTGGGGGAGTTTCTGTCTGTCTTCATTATGAGCTGATGACAGACAAAGCTGTCTATTTGTTGGGACCCTTCACCTGCTTAGAGGCCCTGTCTTCATGTGGTATGCACTTCTAGGACTATCAATAAAGTTATCCATTTGGCATGCTTAAATGCTGGACTGGGTTGGTTTTGCAGCTGATGTGGCGTGGTGTTCAGATTAATATATTTCTCTCAGATGAGGTACTACGATCTGTGTGCAGAAAAACAATTACAGCATTTTTGGTTTGGATAACAGACTTCCTCCAAGACAGGAAGAGTGGGCTGGCTCAGGAGAGAGATAGAACGAGTGAGATGAGAACATCCTGATTGGGGAAATCACCACACACCAAATTGATCTAACTCAAATTCCACATTTTCTCCTCGAAATGGTCTACACTGACTTGTTTCAGACGGTTTATATTTATGTGTATAAAGTGTGTTTGTATCTTATTTCACTTGTTGTCCAATCAAAAAAAGTCAGCCTACTCAATGACTGTCTGTGGGGCAAACTGAAGTTTTTATACATTTTACAAACTCTTGGTCTTGAATACTTTGTGGGCTCGCTTTAGTTGGGTCTTTGTCTTGTTGATTGCAACATGCAATCAGACTTCAGTTGATGAGGAGGAAGTTGTTTTTTTCCCCACCGTCACTGTACAGCTGTGGACGGACACGTGCAGCCAGAGGCTTCTTAAATAGAGACCTCTTTTTGAGAATGTCCACTTTGTCTTTTTTTTTTTTTAATTGATCTGCTCTGCACATGAGCCATAATGACATCCAGCTGGAGGTTGTTGCAGAGTGACGCAGAGTGTACAAACACTCTCGCTCTGCCCATTCGTCTTTCCACCTTTCCACCTTTCCCAGCATCCCTTTCACTCTCGGATGGATGGGGCTATTGAACGTTTTTTTTTTCTTCTTTTTCCTCTGAACGGTGTGTGTGGTCTTTGTAGCCTGACACTGGGACTTCTGTACACGTGTGTGTGTGTGTGTGTGTGTGTGTGTGTGTGTGTGTGTGTGTGTCGGTGTAATGTGCATGCTTTTATACTTGTCTGAGGGGTTGCCTTTGAAACTCCACATTCACATGACAACATAAAAATGCATCCAGCAGAATTCCACAGCATGCTTTTGTCTTTGTTTTATTTCTTAGAACTGTGCCATAAAATCCTTCTGCTGTTTGGTTAGCTCCCTCGCTTTAGTGTTTGCCCTCCTCTAAAACACCCTGACAGCTCCCATTCCTTATGTGACTGTCCCTATAGACATGACCCATTGTCCCTTCTTTTCCAGACTTAATGCTAATGGGTTTCATCGTGTAGCTTGTTGTGTGCGCATCTGGCTGCAGGAACAGCTGTTTGTCCTGGGTGGCTTTGGCGTGCAGGGGTGCGGTCCAGGGTCAAACCCCATGTCACATTGTTCTGACCCAGTTTACTTCTGCGGTGGCCTGGTTATAGCCGGGACGGCCGGCCTGAATGTGTGCTAATTGCATGGTTGTGGCCAAAGGGAGGCACTGGTAGGTTTAGCATCGCAGGGGAATGGATGGAAGGACGGGTTTTTTATTCTGCAGCTGTAACCCATGATCATGGTGATCTATAAATGGGCTCATCTCTGTTTAGCGCCTTGACAACTAAAACCTTTTCTGAACCACTACAGTGGGATCTCCTGCTGAGTAACTAAAGCTTTTGAGTCAGCAAAAGACAGAAAATAGAGGTGTTTGACAGACAAAAATTCTGGGCTTTCAGAGGGTTGTATCTATATATAACCAATGATATTTGGGCTGTAAATTTGGACACAATTTACGTGCTTTTTTTAACCAATTAAAACATGACAATTAAATAATTTTTCTCTTTGTGTCTCTTTCTCCTCCCTGCAGTGGAACCAGCAGACCTCTTGAAGATTTTAGATTTTCACAGTTCACCTGAGGGTGTTAAAAAAACGACGGGTTTCTGCTCACATCGGAGGTCAACACAAGGACCCGATGTGGCTTACAGAGTATCCAAAGACGCCCAACTCAGCGCCCCCACCAAACAGCTGTATCCAGGTGAGTGTCTGACTCAACACACACACACACTACTCATTTTCTCTTTTAAACATTTTCTCTCCAGACTTCAAACAAACCAGGATCATTTTTCCATACTAACAACTCTAGGTTAATCACTACGGATGTTTTTCTTTTCCAAGATCTTGAACTTCTCTTACAAGTTGCCTTGCCATCTGGTTCGCTTTATGACCTTTTACCCCACATCATAGTAAACTGGGATTATAACATTTAAACGTGGCTGGAAAGCAATTTATATCTGATTCTGCTCCCACCTAGCCAGTTCCTGTACTTTCCCTCACGGCAGCAGTTTTATTGGCTTCTGTAACTTGATAATTTACATCAACTCTATCTTTGCTTTATGGGTTGTCAAGCAAGGTATGCCTGCTGTTTCATACTACACTCCCGTGTCTCCCTCTTATTAGAAAACATACTATATGTACACAGCCTTGTACATGTAAAGAAATACGAGGATATCTGGACAACTCTGAGTTAGTCCTGCTGCTCTTTCACACTCGAATGTTGAAGATAATTTAGGGATAGAAAAAGATAATGCACACTGATTCCCCCCCTTTGAAAACACACAGCAGATGCATGAGAAATCCAGCCCTATAATATTTGATGTTGTAGGAGGAGCCTGACGAAGAAAAAGCAGTGAAAATAGGGGTGGAAGAGGGGAGGGAAGTCTGGGGTTTTGCCTTGTTCTATTGTGCTGACGTGGCTTTGGGTTACTGCTTTATGGTGCTCTGCAGTAGTACTTTCCTCTCTTTCCCCCCTTCCCTTTCCCTGCTTCTCTCCCTCCTTCCTTTTTTATTTTCCCTCAAATGCCTTTCTATTTTCCCTCTATCATTTCTCCGAGACCACTGCTGCCCCACTGTGTTTTCCCCCTTTGTGTTTCATCTAAACTTTGTCTGGTGAGACATGCTAGGCTCCCTTTCTGTTTTATTTCACAGTCCAGAAATTCAAAACCTTAAGTCTCTGACCGAGACTGCCGTCTTCTGAAATTATTGTGATTAGATTTCCAAAAAAAGCAAAAAGCAAAACCTCTTCCTGTGAGCTAATCTTCCACGAAGCTTAGATTGGATGGCAGCCCGACTCACGGTCTTTTTGAGATGTTGCTTTGGCCTCAGTGGACCTTTGATCCATGTCGTGGCTCTTCTTTGGGGCTTAGAGCAGAGTAAGAGAGCTCATGTGGCTGGCGTGCCCTATCATGCTCTCCAATCAAACAAATACTGCTCACTTTGAAGCTCCATGACAGCAGAGCCCATACGAGTCTCTGTTTAGATACACATGCTATAATTATACACGCTACAATGGATCATCCGAAATAACAGTCCACATAAAACAAACAGACTTAGAGGAGTTCACAACAGGCACCACGTAGTCTCAAGGTGCAAACCGAATAACTAGCCGCCTGTGGCTTGACGAAGTCTAGTCGAAGCGTCTGTGACGTGATCCCTCTCTTGTCTTGACATTAAGAAAATGTACAGCTAATATGTTCCAGAGGGCAGCTAAACGTGTGAGCTCATTTCATCCATCTCTTCTTTTTTCCTTTTAAGTAAGTTTGCTACTGAGTTGTGACTTTGGCCTGAGGCATTCAAGGTGCAAATTGCCCAAATTATCATCACAGCATCCTGCCTCCAAAAGGTTCGAAAAATGCCACATTTAGGAAACAAAGGCATGCAGACATGCTCGTTTTGTTATAATGTTGGTAATAAAAACCACAGTGGCTCTGATTGAGAACACTCCAGCCCGTAACCCCATAACCACAGACGGTCTATGACGATGTGTCGGGGAAAAACGAGCAAGTGCAGACATGCAATCATTAGGCAAACATGTGGAAGGGATGATTCATTTGAAACTACTGAGCCACTGAAAACAGAAGAGTCCTGTCTTACCTTTACGATCTGACTGAGAAATGAGGAAACGGGGCAATGAAGCCGCCGGCCCTCTTTAACTTTTGCACCACACACTTCCCCATGTCTCAGTAGTCTGTCCTCGTCTAGCAACTCTTGCGAGAGTTGCATCTCCGATTGATCTGGCTGTTAACAAACAGAAAGACATATGATGCTGTAGCGCCAGGTCTCTGCGGTTGAACCCCCCAAGAATAAATCTTAGACTATTCTCAAACTATAGAGCTTTAGTCGCATGATGTTATTTGGGCCCTGAGCTTGAAACACTTCCATCACGAGTCCTACCTTTGCCCATTAGAGCCCTGTACATCAAAGACACACACATCCATCTTCCTCTCTTTCACTCTCTTTGTCCATGTTTCCCATCCTTTTTTGCACACCAGCAGACAGGTACACTTGTTGTCTCTGCAGCAATATGCAATCCCACTGGAATGCTGCTTTTCTCATACAGAAGGAGGGATTTGGACACAGCGATGACTGAATGACCAATTACTGGACACAAGACGTTCTACCCCATTTACCTGCTTGTGTGCGCACTGACAGATGGTGGAGAGGATCAGTCAAAGTGCTGGCATAGTTCCTACACCTCCCTGACGTTCTCAGAGAAGTTTGGTAGATTCCCAATGCCTCCAATGTAAAATTGGAGACGGGGTGGTAAACCACTCTCTGTCTCTTGTAACTTTCAAATAAGACCTCTCTCCATCAACCCAGAGAATAGTCCAAGAAAAATAAAAAACTAGTTATATCACACCTGAGACATTATATCAAAATAAAAAGCAACTTTAATTGGTTATTTAATCTAGAGGAAATTGGTGGGTCGTGCCTGGTTGGCTGGTCGTGATGTCTTGTCTTTGTGTCTCTGACTTTCCGGGACCTTTTGAGTCTGACACTGATGATGGTGCTGCCAGTGTAAACTCCCAGGACTTCTGGCACCACAGCCCTCCCATTCCCACCATGTCCTCACATGCGCGCACACACACACACACACACACACACACGCACACACGCACACTAAATGAGGAATGAGGTATCGCTCATCTGGTGGCCCGAAGTAGCGGCTTGAGAGATACATTCCAGAGAAACCTGAGCGTTTCTGAATGACCCCCCCCCACCCGACACACACACACACACACGCACTTTGCTATGGGGTCCTGAGGAGAGAGCAAGCAGGAGAATAGGTCACAGAAACAAGAGATTGCTCTTATTTCCTCTTCTCGTCCTTAATTTTGTATTTTTCAATACAATCACCTTCTTTCACCCTCCTCTCAGATTGAGGTTCTCTCAGGGCATCTCAGTCCTCATAGTGATGGCAGGGAGGACAGGCCACACTGCATAAACACAAACCCACAGATGAGAAACTCTGCTGCATGAATGCTACTTCAATTTAATTCAGAGGCAGTTTTATTCTCAATTTCAGCCCTGAGTGGTCTGAGTCATTTCTTTCTGCCCTGCACTCCCACTTCTTCAGTGCCATTGTGTCTCTTTCAACCCACAGCTGACCCTCGACCCCCACACAAACAGCCAGTCCTGAGCCAGCGCTGAGTCATTGGGTCTACTTTAATGCAAAATAACTGCTATTACCCAGGTGTGCTGAATCATAAATCCCACTTGATGGGCGATTTTTTATTGTTAACATAGGTGATGCCCCCTAAACAAAATATAAAAGGGCAGGTGTTGTGCCCTGTGCAAATGCCCAAGAATTGGAGAGATGCCACCAAGAAAAGGCTGTAGCGAGAAGAACTTCAGCAGTAGTGAAATTGAGGTACTGTTAAAGAAACTTAAAGAAAGTAAACCTGCTCTCGACCACTCATACAAGTTTCCATTACCTAAAAGAAGAGCAAAAATAAGAAAACATTGGTGAATCCTAGAAACCATTGGGTACCAACAGAATAAGAACAAATCGTGGATGCGAATATCTTATATCTCTTCCTGCACGAGGCCCATTGTCTCTGGATGTAGTCACAATCTGTCCTTCATCTGGTTTCTTTTCCCGTCGTCCTTTTTTTGCACCATAACTGTCATTTCATAAATTTGCGCCCGCTCAAGTCTTTCTCTCACCAAACTCATCCATACGATGGTGTTTGAAGGGTCTCTTCCTCTGCTGTCTTACACCATCCTGTCAAAGCATCTGTCAATTAAAGCAATCTTTCTCATATGTTGCCAAGCTGAATTCCTGAGGGAGCGCACTGCCAAGGCATGTGCTCTCTCCGCATGATGCGATTTGATGCCTGCCATTCATGAAAGAAGGAATCATAGAAAAAAGGGAGGAAGACATGACAGGAAGGCAAACAGACTCCCAGATGCTGACTGGGTGAAAGACAAAAGAGAATAGAATGAATGCATGGCGGTGCTTCCATTTACTTTCTTCTTTCTTTTTCTACTATCTCTTCCTAACCTATGGTTCCCTTTGAGACGCCACTCATTGGCTAGTCACTCCGATTTCGCCTTTTCCAGCCTGTCTCCTACGATTCTGAGGAAATGGTGGCAGAGTAAGGGGGTTTAATGGCTGCACGAGGTGCTACAACACCACCGCAGCCGCAAACCCTGCCTCTCTTTTCTGGCCGTCTGGAAATCTCCGCTCTGCACATACCGCACAGCAAAGATCTGCTACTGGAATCCAAGTGGTTTCTTTGCTTATGGTAAATATAATCCAGATATCTGGGTTTCTCTTAACAATAGTGGTTTCAACAAAGTCAGATTGGCTTTTTTCTAAAACTAAAAGATCAGACAGCCTCAAGTGTAGTCTGATCTCGACATTAGCGAGCAACAGTCTCCCCGGGTGGCTGGAGAGGCCGCCCTCTTTCTGGGGTCCTCAGAACACCCCACGAAGGGAATCTGTCTGGCAGATGTGTCCCACACTTTAGCAAAATGGAGGAAATAGTTGAGGCTGCACAGTGGAACAGTTGGAAGCAAACCCGTCTTTTTTAATGTCTGGTATTCAAACACATAAAAAGTGCAGAAACAAAGTATTATTGGTATTTCCATACTTGTGTGTCTTTAACTCTGTCTCCTGTAAGTTTTTTTTACTCCCATTTCCTCATCTCCAACCTTTCTTTGGAGCACTTCAGTGTCTGTTAGACTGATCAGCTGTGGGAGGAGAGAGAAGAGCGGAAAAGGAGGGGTTTGAAGGATAGTTCGACGAAGTCTCCCAGGATCACATGCTTTTGTCATTATGCTTCTCATCCTGTGCTGCGCTGGAAATGCTCCACTTTGCACTTCTAACTTTTTGTTTTTTTCCCCCTTCTGACCGGCCTCTAGTCTGCCAGCCATCCCTTTCAGATTAATCCTATCCTGTTACATTTTGGACACTCCACAAATTGTTGGCGCTTCCTTTCGGTGCTCAAAGCCCATCCTTTTCAATTCTTCCATTCTAAACTATTATTAAAAATAATAATTTACATATTCCCTCTTAACACCGAAGAGCACAGCCTGTCTCCTAAAATGATATTAAGGTTACAACATCCTGAACACAAACACAGTATTTAATTTTCTCTTTTGATGATGAATGATTACTGCTACGTATAACTCTCCAAAACGTTTCTCTCTCTGTTCAACCCGCCGTCCGTCCTGCCAGGTGATGTGTTCCCGGAGGACTTTTCCATCTTGGCCACAGTGAAGCCTAAGAAGGGCAGCCAGTCCTTCCTGTTGTCTGTGTACAACGAGCAGGGCATCCAGCAGCTCGGACTGGAAGTGGGCCGCTCGCCGGTGTTCCTGTACGAGGACCAAACAGGCAAACCCAGCCCTGAGGACTACCCCCTCTTCAGAGGAGTCAACCTAGCTGACGGAAAGTAGGTGCTCCGGTTGTTGGTTCATGCAGCTTCCCCTCTAATCAAAGTCCAGGTGGATGTGTTAGACTTTGATGCTGGTTTAGTTTGTGAAGCAGCACCTTGCCCAGGTGTCCTGTTTTGCAACAGATTTGTTAGTGACATGCAACCTCGTCAGTGTTCGTTTGTGATATTGTACATTTGATCCCTTAAAGTAAATGTGGATCTTTTGCATGCAAACACAGTGTTGAATTTGTATCACCGAACAAAAAAGGGTATTTTAAGAAAGAGTGAAATGAGATTCAATTTCACTCCAAAAAACAGAATGGGATGTATTTGAATTTGAGAGGCCGAACACAAAAGGCGCTCTTGACAGTGCCTTAGCAGTGTGTAAGTGGACAGCATGTAACCCAGTAAGTGTGTGAATTAACTTCACCTTCACCTTTCAGATGGCATCGAGTGGCCATCAGTGTGCACCAGCAGACCATCACCCTCATTCTGGACTGTAAAAAGAAGGCCACCCAGAAGCTGCTCCGAAGCCCTCACCCCATCATCGATACGAAGGGAATTGTAGTATTTGGAACTAGAATACTTGATGAAGAAGTCTTTGAGGTAGGCATTATACTTTCACTCCTAATCTACACGTTTTAATGGCATTATTCTAATATTGCACCGCTTAGGACTGTCTGTATGTCTGTATGTTAAGTAATCTTACCAGATGCACACTTGTTTTCCACTCGACTGTGTCCATTTGGTATCTGTGTGTTAATTGATCGATTGGTATTTGGCATCTCCCGTTCTACGCTATTTCCAAGGCTACTAAGTAAGGAGGCCCAAAACAATCCTTTTTGTGGACAATTCTCAGGCCAACTTGATATAAAATCCTTAAGCGATTAAGAGATTCTCCATTCCAACTTCAGTACAGACACACATGTGGCTGTGGTGTAAATGATGGCCAATCCCCAATCCCAAAGTCTGCATGTCATGGCACACAGAATGGGGATCGTGGTAGTGTCCACATCCTCAATAGATGTGTGCATTTAGCTTGTGGAACCCCCAACATCTCACAAATCAAATTTAATTTAACACATTTTCCACATCTTCCACACAAAAAAACACAATGTCCCTGAAGTCTGTTCTGTTTACACCTGTACCACATTTTTTTTGCATGTTCAACTCTGGATCTGTTGTTGCCGTTTAGAAGTTTCGCCTCTCTCTTGTGGCTGCTCTGCAGTTAAAACCCAGTCCAACTTAAACGTTATATTTCTGTTTATGGTTTCATGTCTGAATTATTTTTCTCAAACATTTTTGTTTACAGAGGTTTTTAACAAGTGGTGACAGGTTTTCATTATAGGAACGGGGGCTTCACTTCTTCCTACCTCTTCTCTTCATGTGTATAAATGCTTCGTGGCGGGAGCTGAAAGATGAATGTTTAATGTGACTAGTGACAGGAAGCCTTTTGGGGGTTTCTAATACCCACAGATACCTGATGTGCATCATGACGTCAAACACTTTTTGCTTCTACCTAGTGTGACGAATCAGAGTTAGTTCGTATAGCGCCTTAAACAAGCTTTTGTGTGGACATTTGTGGCTCTTAAACATGACCCCTGTGAGGGACACGTACACACACAAACACACCAAAGCGCACACAGAGGGAGCACAAGGCACAAGGAATAGTGTTGTCTTTGTCCCGTCGGAGTTGTGCTTGTTTAAAGGGGGATTAGTCTGTGACGCTGAGGCCCTCAATAATAATTAGTAACAGAGGCTGACTGATGTGACTGATGCTGAGCCAGCTGACCTTTAACCTCACTGCTGCTCAGCGAGAGCAGACGAAAAGAATGAAATATGACATCACTCCACCCCCCACAATCCCCAAAGTTGGTCTGGCCAAGACATAGGGGAGATGGACATATGATCAGTCAAAACCATTAATCACAGTATGTACTGTACTGTATATGTATGTCATTATATACACAACAGGGTTAGATGTGGTTCATGAGTGAACCACTGTTTTATGTTGCACGGATTGTGTTCACATTCTATTGAAATTGTTGACTAGAGCTATTTAATGAGGCATGAATAGAGAAGTGTTTGGTGTGTGTGTATGTGTGTTACAGCTAGCCTAAGCCTAATGGCCACTCGTAAAGTCCTCCAGTTGCCAACAGCATGACTGCATTTATCCGGCACAGTTGTACTACTGCTGTAATTTCATTACTGCCCGTTGCACACTCGTCATGAGATCGAATTGATACAGGAACAATTTAAATCCTACCCAGCAATCAGAGCAGCGGTATAACAGTCAACTGGTTACCGTGGGACCAGACAGATATTTCGTGTGAGATGTTTAAAAGCCCTCCTGCTGTGCGTCCGCCAGTCGGGAGACGGGACAGGCTCCAGTGCGTGCAGAAAATGGAAAATATGCCACATAGTTTCCAAATTATGCTCAGGCTGCGCTCCTTTCCTCCTCTTACTCCCTTCTCCCCTCTGTAGTTTAGTCTGATCCTGTGTTGACTTTAGCCAGAGTCAGTTACCACCAAGACAGCATGAAAGTTGAGCATGAAAACACCCACAAAATACATGTTTTCCTTTAGAGTCCCAATGCATCATACGGATGACCGCTCAGAAAGAATTTCCCTTTACAAAAAGAGAGAAAATCAATGTTTTTGGATTAAATAGATTAAAAATCATAAAATCAAAACATATATTTGCATAAAGAGACTTGAGGATGTACATATAATCTTTAGATTTACACTGAATGGTGTAGAGGAGTCTGGGCCTTTTCTCTACATACAGCAGTCGGTAGGCACGCTGTACTCACTGTATGCAGAGGTGGTTTGTGGTTTGGTTTCTGACATGGTTATTGTGGTCACAGAGAAAGCGTCTACCCTCTATAAGTACCATCATGTTATTTTCTTTTCTTTGTAGCTTGTTTAAGAGTACTGTAACGCGTGCCAGTAAAGACTATGAAGGTAACGATTATATAAGAAGACGGGTATTTTACTTGGCAATCAATGCTCATCCGTTTTAAAGGAAATAGTAATTACTCCTTGGTAATGACTGTAATGTAAACATTCAAATCAGTCATTAAGAACCAGTATCTTTAATGACTTTTAGTGATGTTGTTTTTCTTCATGCCTGTAGGGTTATGGGTGTTGAAAGCATGTGTAGTTTAATCTCTGTTCAGAATTTAGGGCCTGCAAGACATAGTCTGTCTGCAGAGTGTGTTCCTTGCTTTCCGTGTTCACTGTTGTTTTCCCGAGAGTGTGCCAAGAAAAAACAGAGATAATTTAATGTCCATCCCTCGGCCCTAAGTAGCGTCGAGTGAAATAAATGGCTGCTGTTGATTTGAGGGGAACACAAACAGGACAGATGGACCACTTGGCCTCACTCAGAGGGGACCCCAGGGGACCTCGAGTGAATCGAAGTGGCCGAGGTGGAGCTGCGCGAACACAGCAGTTGTTGTCCGGCCTCCATTGTTGCAGTCCAAGCAGAGCGAAAGTCCGGTATGAATGCGGGCGATCATATAGTGCAGTTTTTTTGTCACAGAGAGACATCAATTCAGCGTATTGGAGAGTTGAGCAGACTAGCCTATAGATCAGAAGAACAAGATGTTCAGGATTGAGAGGAGTGGGGGAGTTGGAGCAGTAGGATCGGGTAGCGGAGCCAAAACCTATGGGTCACACTCTGGAAAGAATGAGGAGCTCTCTTCCCGCTGATGTCAGTCTTGGAACAGCAACCATACCACATGACATCATCCAGAGGTTTCCTTGGTATCCGCTGATAGGCTGTCCCAGACTGATGGTCTGAACAAGGGGGAGAGAGGGTGGGTGGGTGGTGGAAGAAGTGCATGTGGGGATAAGTTGGGGAGGATAGGTAGGAAAGCGTGATGTGCTTCAGAAGAGGAGGATTGGGGTAAAGATGTAATGAAATAAAGGATCAGAGATGGAATGAGTGGGGGAGTTTAAGGCAAATATGATAAGAGTGGGAGGGGACAACCGCATCAGTTGGGAGGCCTTTAATAGGGCTGGGATGAAGTGAGTTGTGTGGCTCACGTGGTGCAACCAGAGCCAGGAAAAAGTAGTAAAAAAACGCACTCGATGCGTTAGTATCTTTGCGCTAGTAGCTTTAGTATTGTAATGGCACGACGAGTTGTACACATCCTGTTTCCTCATCTTTACCCCATGACTTATCTTCAGTTTTCCTGCCATTAACTCGGCGCCCCTTATTTACAGTTCACATGTATTCATGTGCGGATGCTCTCCTGATTTACATCGTGACTGTTTTAGAGATTTGACACCACTTGATGTTCCGAATTTAGAATCCTATTTTGGCCCGGTGTCTGAGGTAGTAGTACAATTGGTTAGACGGATGTTTCCAGCTCTTATTTGGCTTCTGTTTTATTACTTGTGATTAGCTACACTCAGTAGCTCTAGTAACGCTTTTGAATCGGTGTACCTCTTTGATTTTTTGTCATAAAAAACAGTTTGCTGGATGGTTAACAGATGGATATTGGTTTCTCTTATGGAGCTCCATTAGAGGAGACCTGGGAATGTTATGCCCTGCTTGGGTCTTCATGAATTTCAAACAATTCCACTGTTAACTTTAGCTCCGTTTCATGCTGGCAACTTTTAGCCCTGTGTTTAGTCGATTTTAAGGGGATAACCCAGCAAACTCGGTGCTAACCCTGCTCTGGAGTAGGGCCAGCAAGCCCTGGGCTAAAATCGGGGCTAGCCCACTTTGGAATGTGCCAGGATTGTGCCAGCGTGAAAGCTTTCTAACAGCTCCCTTAGCCCGTGGCTAAGGACAGTGTGAAAAGCCTAATCATAACTTACTTGAAGATAGTGTAGTGTATTTTTCTGCAGTGTCGAGTGCAAATGTGTATGTTTTTAAGGGTCGAACAATTTTCCTACTAAAAAACAAATCATGTCAGTGGAGAAGCTGGGAACTGCAATCTGTCCCAGCTGGATTTAGACATGCAGTAATTCAGATGTTATTATCCAAATGATAATGGATTGTTTCAAAGATTCAAGTAGAGAATTTGTAGTGTAAATATTAATAGTGTATATCACTTTGTAAAACTGTAGCCATAATGACACTTCTGAATGGTATGCTGTGGGGTAGTTTTGGAGTCAACTCTATCCCGGCTTAAAACATCCAAAAAGCTTTTCCAAAGCATACAAAATGAAATCCCTATGCGTGTACATTGCTGTGCTCACGTTTGTATGCATTATCTTGTCCAAGGTATAAGTCATGCTTCACTGTCAGAACACACTACCTCCATACTTTTCAGTTTGCGGAATAGGACGTAGACTTCAGTAGCCCCAGGGAAGATGGAGTTTCCACCATGATAATTAAGAGAATTTCCCTAACTCATGTCAGATGTTTGTCTTTCGCCCCCTCTGTTATTCCTTTACTGTGTCAGCAAGCCCTGAAGTGTACCCTCAGCACTTTTATGTAGATTTCAGCAAATGGCCAAGCCAAACAGAATCTACGTCTGTTATATGAGGCCAGCCCGCTCTGGTTTCCACCACCCCAAATGAACAGGAAATGTGAATATGGCTGCCGTAGTCCTCAGAGACGTGGAATTAGAATCTTATACAGAAGGGAGTGGGATGGGGGCTGAGACGCTGAGGATTGAAATGATGGAGAGGCCCAGATGGGATCCAAAAAAACAGGATATGGGGCACGGAGGTGAGGGATTGGTTAAGGTGCTGTGCGGTGGAGAAGTGGGGTGGCAGACGGGCCTGTTGCTCTTGGCAGCTGCTCTGAGTTTTGGGATTGAGCTACAGTCTGGAGGGGAAAGGGTATGTGGGTGAAAACGTACCTCATGTCTGGTAAAGTTCTGTAAATTTGTTGGAGTGGAAGTTCTCTGAAGGCATATGCGTGTTTTGAAACATGCATGCATGTACTTAAACGCATCATACAGCTAGTTTATTTATGTGTCCATGTGCATTTTCGTGTGTGTGTGTGTGTGTCCAATCCATGCTGATTAATGGCCTCTGTGCGGTGGGCTGACCTCTGCGATGTTTTATTTGGTTTTCGTGGTCAGATTTGAGAATGGCCAGGCGCTGGGACTGCGACTGTGCCGGTGTGGGCTGGCAGAGGGACCAAGGCCTGGCTCAGAGCTCAGGGGTGACTGTGTAAATATGTTGTGAAAGTAGCTCGCCTTAAAATGCTGCCAGAGCTCGGACCTCCCAGAGTCTTATCCTGCCCTGTGGGGCCCTCCTGCCCAATTTTTCTTTGCTGACATATAATCCAGAAAAATGACAAAAACCTCGACTCTTTTCATAGTAAGTTCTGTACCTCCTGTTGTGCCGGAGCCATTGACCGGTGTCCCCGAGGATATGGAGAAATAATGAGCATTGATTTGTGCTGTCTATTTTGTGCTATGCTGCTCTAAGCATCAGCAGGGGGTCACCTGACATCACCTTACTCTAATAAAATTAAGCCTTTTTAGGCTCCCCCTCACTTTATGCTTAAAGTATGTATGTGTATAAGAAAGAGAGGAGGAGAGTTTATTTGCATGCACTTAATTTTGTTACGTTTTAGCCGCTCGTGTCACAATAATTTACCCCACTCATTAGCTGTCCATTGTGTCGTGATGTTTTGGAAACCGCACCAATATTGATTTCCGTCCCATGCAATCATATCTTTTAATTCAGAAGATGGATCACAATGAACTCGATCATGATCATGCATGATTGTGGGTCAGGTTCAGATGGAGACAAATGTTTGGCTTAATGCTCACGAGAGCACTCTCCTGCCCTCACCTGGACAAGACCAGAACATCCAGTACGGATTCATGTGTGTGGGCCGAACTGGGTGAGGTCTGGGAATGAAAGCCAAAAAGTTGATGTGACATTTGAGTAAATAACATACAGAAAGAGGAATAGATTGACGCTTTTTAGTGTTATTGATCGGTCTTTGTTCCGCTTCTGTAATCTTGGAAAAACTGCAGCTCGCTTATGGATTGGTGCGCGTGTTTTGTGTGTGCATGCGAGTGTCTTCAACAGTTTCTTTAGGACAAAGTATGTGAAGTGAGATCGACTGTTGCTCACAACAGCCACAGGCAATGGCTTTTCCACCGGAGCATTGGCCCGGAGAAGAGTCATATTTCAGCTGAGTCCAGGGAGATGCTGACAGCAGCAACCCTGTTATTGTCTGAAATTTCTGCCTTAAGCACCACTCTGATGTGCCACATGATGCTCCAGAGTGAAAAACGTTGCTGTCCCCTCTCAAATATGAAAGCTGATTGCATGTCTTTTATGGTTCCCCCAGGGGTTTGGGTGTGATTGTATAATTCCAGGTTTTTTTCTTCCTTTGGTGTGCTCTGTTTGTCGGTGTGGAATTGCCGGTTTTTTGGGCGTCTGTGTTTCCGTGCATTAATCATTTGACGTATATTTCGGTCTGCGTTCATGTCACATATCAACGTCCGTTGATGTGACTTGAAGTGAGCAATAAGTTATAATGTCCTGCTCTTTTTAACGTGTTGGGTTTAACTAAGCGCCGTTATCAAATTCAGAATCCCTGACTCTGCACATAGAGTTGTTGCAGTGCGGTTTCCTGTCGTCAAAATATAGAGAAGTAGCCCCCATATACAGTAATGAAGTAAATATCTCTTGCTTAAATGGGTTGCTGGACTGAGTTTACCATTCAGCGGCAGAATACTAAATGAGAAACTTGGTATTAGCATACAGCTGGAGAGCAGCATAGGAATATTGACTGCTTCCCTACATCTATTAAACAGCAGCTTACGTATATAAAGTTTGGCACCAGAATCTGTGGAGCGACGTGTGGGGAAAAGAGCAGCTCCGGTTCGAAGAAAGGAAATCACAACCAGTGATTAAGTGGATCCAGACGTTGACAATAGTTTTACTGTGAAGGTGTGCGGGTTCGTGGGAACTTACGTACTGTATGTTCTGTAAAAATTAATTGGGCCCTTTTTTCATGTCAATCCATTTGCTACTCAGGGAGAGCACTACAAAGCCTTCGAAAAGATTTGTATTATGTTTTCTTAGAGTTTCTGTCTTTATGTCATCAGGGATATATAATAGATAGTTTGTAATAGAAAGTTTGCGTCATAAACAGGCTGATAAACGTCTGCATTTGCAAGGCAGGGGTTGTCTAATGATGGGATGCTATGAAGCTGCATTATGGGAACTGTAGGATGCTGAGTAGTCAGAGCTTCACCCACACTAAGAACTACAAGTGAGGCTATCTCTGAGATGGCTGCTTTGCTTTTTGGCCATTCGTTTTTACTTTGGCCAAGTGAACAAAATGTTTCTTAGCCTATTCATCTGCATTTGGTTTTGGGCAGTTCTCAGTGCCTAACCTCCCTTTTTATAGCCCAAAACTTTTTAACAGAATAAAACTTCAGACAGCTGGAACTGTTCATGCTGAATGGTTCAAAACGAATAAGCACAGCTCAATTCAGGTCCACATTCCCTATCCAGCTTCTTTTCATCCTTTTCTTCCCTCTCATACGCCTTTGGCTATAGAGTTAGCACAATCAAAAGCAGCCATCAGCTTTTCCAGCCTCAATAAGATCCTTAGAACAGCACACTTTTCTCTCGAGGCATGCAGACGCCTCTTTCTTTCTCTGTGTACATGTCACACCACATCATTAAAAACATTCTGCCACGGTGCTCTCTGCGCTGCGAGGATGTTCTCATTAAATGCTTAGGTGTATGATTGATTATCTCATTCTGGTACAATTAGGATCAAACCATTTGTGGTCAGGATGTGCCCTGACAAATCTTTGACCGCTTTGCAAGATGGAGAAAAAGGAGTGTGGAAGAAATGAAAAAGGAAAGCAGTAGAATGGCAGATGAATAGGAAAGCAGTTGCAATGCTCCAGACTGCAGGGCTGTTTTGTTGTACAGAGGGCTTATTCCTTATTGAATGTGACCTCATTTCAAACACTGAATTCCCATCATCCCCTTTCAGCGCAGCTGTTGCACACAGTCTTGCCAGGATAAGGGAGAAACAGAAACGGAGAAACAGAAACTGATACCAAGTAAAGGCTCCTTACAGAACCAGACTTTGGACAAAAGGGTCAGAGGCTCAGAGGTAGCCATTTGAAAGTTTCCTGGGAGCTCCCGAGTTCATAGCTGGGAAGAGTTGTGTAATGGCCACTCCTGTCTTTCTGCCTTGGAGGAAGTTTTGGGATTTGTTTTCTCACATCCACCATAAACCCCGCTGATAGCATGAGCCGTGGACGGAGCAAGAAACATCATCTCGCGTAGTCTTTTGCAGGAGTTATTAAAAGACCGGAGACGGAGGAGTGGGATCGGTGCTCCTCTGTGAACTGTCACTGGTTAGACCACAAATGCAATCCGTACTGGGAGAAATTCAGCTGGAAAGATATGTTAAGGGGTTTCACATTTTCTGCAATTGGACATAATTAAAAACATTTCATCCTCTATGGCGGTCCGTTCCCATAGTTGCATCACTTCACTCTCATACACCCCACCCCCAAAAAAAGACATTTGTTTCAGCTAAGTTAACGTTGTATTTGATTGATGTTGAATGACATCACTGCATTTGATTAGGACATGTTTGGATAGATGCAATACAGTGTTCCGCTGCCATATATGAATGCTGTTCAGAAACATGTGGCAAACACACACACACCCAGCTCCCTATGTAGCCCAGGGATCCTTCTGAGCCTTTTTTCACTTTTCCCTCTTGTTCTCTCTTGCTCTTTTTCTATCAATCTCTGTTCCTTCCTCTTCCTCTCTTCCTTTAAATCTCTCACTTATGTTACTGTTCCACTCCACTTCACCTTAACATAATTGTAATACGCACACACTCCTTTAAGTCAAATGGCTCCGCAGCTGCAGGTCTGCTCATGTTCACCATGTCACATTGATCCATTCATCTTACACAATCAGCTCAAAGGCGAAATGTCCTCAGTTCTGGGGCATGGTTTGTGTTTCGATCTATCCATCTATCATCTTGTTGAATACTCACTTTGTGTGTGTGAGCCTGTGGTTCTGTGTGTTTGTTTGTTTGTGTCATCGTCCGCAGCGACATGAAGTCAGTTGTTCCATGTTCTCGTGTAGCTCCGCTCTGTTTGCTGTAAGCTTTTTGTCTCACACTCTGGTGCTCAACTCTGATGCAAAACAACACTGTTGGACCCCGGACAAAGTTCTTCATCATTCTGTCAGCCTTAGATTCCCCTGACTTGACCTAGTTTCAGGACTGCCTGTTCTGCATGTGATAATAACGCACGCAGATGTTCTCCCTCATCTCCATTTGTTTGTATGCCTTCATTTTTCCCCATGGGTCACAGAGTGTGAGACCGACGTCTCTGTCGCTGCCGATTGTTTGCTTGTTTATTGTCATGCATGACTTGTGTAGCTGTGTCCAGGGGGGTCTCATGACTTCTTGTTTCTTGTGGTTTCCAGGGAGATATCCAGCAGCTAATGATTGTAGCAGACCATCGTGCTGCCTATGACTACTGTGAGCACTACAGCCCCGATTGTGAAGTGCCTGTGCCCGACCAGCCTCAGAACCAGGACCCCAACACGGATGAATATGTGAGTAACAAGACCTTTCTTTAAAATGATGTTAGTTGAAACTCAGAGCTCACAATGCAGCTTTGCAAACACAAGGCCATTACATTGCCCATAACTAGAGTAATTCTGGTGGATTTTTGCATGGACATTGTAGAAACCAGCAAGAGTGTTCTCATGGCTGACCTTACTCAAGGAAGTTCATTTCCCTTAATCCATAATTGCCTGTAATGCTCAAATCAGAACTCGGTCGGATCCTGTGCTGAAAAGAGCCTCTTGGCTTATATAAGAAAATTGCACTCTGCCAGAGGAAAGTGCTGACTGGGAAGAACAGGGTTATCAGGCTATGCAGTTAGTTAATAATGTTCAGGAATGATGTGGTGCCTGCCTAAGCCTGCATCCCTGCACCACACCATTTTCTGCACTGAATACCAGCACACTGCATGCTGAATAAAGGTGTGTCAGAAGTGTTAAAATAGGGAACAGGAAGTCAAGTTTTCCTTGCCCCGGGGCCTGTCAGTATGCCTGCAAAGTACACAAAAACTTGACCTGTTTTTTTTTTTGCTAAAGATGTGTGACAGATTAATTAGGGAAGCACTGGAAAAAGTAATTTGTCATTCAGTCGTAACAAGTTGCAACAGGGGGATGCAGCATGAGGCTTCCCCGAGTAGAAGGCATTCCTGCGTGCTGCTGATCGATGGCCAGTCTGTCTCACATATATCAGCCGGACCCAGCGGCCAACGGAGCAGTGGATCATGTTTGGAAATCATGTTTTTTTTAAATTGATAGTTATTTTTTCTCTCTCAGTCACACTCCCGCTCAATGTGAGTGTCATGTTTCTCTCCTTCAGAACACAGATGACAGCTACTATTATGAATACCCTTACTATGAGGATGTGGATGGCAAGCCTTTGGAAGCAAAATCTGATACTGAGACAGCCACAGAAGAAGTCAAGGTAGTCTACCAATAAGTGTTTTGCCACAAATATACGTCGTGTAGTAATGCAAATACAATCATACAAATGCGCCAAAGTAAACCATATATTGTCTGTGCCTTACAGGGGACAGATGGAGACCGAGTGGACACCACAGTGGAGGATGTTTTGAAGGGTTCTGGTGCCATCGGCGGCAAAATATTGACCAGCTCATCCTCTGGCTCATCCTCTGGCACATCCTCCAGCTCATCCAGCAGCTCCTCGGCGAGCTCTTCAGGTACCGCCACTGGTGGAGGAGACGCCTACAGAGGGGAGACCAGTCCTTACGACGGCTATGATGGCTACGGTAACTACGACGGCTACTACGAAGAGTCCACGGCGTCACCCGACGGGGACACCTCTCGACGTGTCGCCATCACCAGCACCGACATTGGCGCCGGGGGCGAGCTGGATCTGGGTGCAGGCGGAAAGATTGACTCGGGCACAGGGACTGGAATCGAGAGAAAGGTCATCACCAGTGGAGGAGGATCTTCGATAACCATCACCGCCAATAACACATCAGTACGTTGACGTTAATTACACTGACATCCTCACTTAATTGTTGTTTGTTTTGGACCGGTAGGTCTAACAGGTGTATTGATGAGCTGTTAGAAACATTTGAAGTCCTGTTCTTTACTTGGCTACATACTCTGTGCAAGTCCTGCCTGTAATTATGTGTGGGAGACATAAGCAGGGGCTTCTTTGGGCTCATCCTCGTGTTATAATCTACCAATCCACACGGGGGAAGCAAAGCCAATGGATGAAGAGATAAATACTTTTACAAAAATCTCCAACATTGAGGTTTTTGTACACGATAGAATGATAAGTATACAAAGATTGTGGCCAGTCGGGTAAAACATTTAAAGACGTCACCTTGGGCTTTAGGAATTTGAGAAACAGCATTTCTCTGTATTTTCTGACATTTTGCAGAGCAAACTATTTCAATTATAATGTGCAGATTTATCTATTATAAAAATAATCCTCAGTTGCAACTCTAGTCCGCTTAGTGTACGTTTTAACAGCTCCACAATGCAAAGTAATATTTTTTTCTTGTATGTTATTTGTTTTCACTGGAAGTTACCACCATCTGTTGCGTCTAACTGAAACCAGCAGTTAACACTTAATTGACTGTGATTGTGTTTTTATAGGGAGGAAGTTCCTACGATGACTACGGCAATGAATACGATTATGACTTGGAGGGCAAATCTACCACTGGTTTGGGCGGTGGCAGCAGCAGCAGTACAGTCAACGTCGGAGGCGGCGGCAGCAGCAGTTCAGTTCATGCCAGTGGTGGAGGCGGCAGCAGCAGCAGCAGTTCAGTTCATGTCAGTGGTGGAGGCGACGGCAGCAGTACAGTCCACCTTGGAGGTGGAGGCGACGGCAGCAGTACAGTCCACCTTGGAGGTGGAGGCGACGGCAGCAGTACAGTCGACCTTGGAGGTGGAGGCGGCAGCAGCAGTTCAGGTCACGTCAGTGGTGGAGGAGGCAGCAGCAGTACAGTCCACCTTGGAGGTGGAGGTAGCAGCAGCAGTTCTACCACCGCCATCGGGGGCAGCTCTGCCGGAGGTGGCTCTGTGTCCGTAGGAGGATCTTCCACCACTAGAGGGGGATCGGCCAGCGCCGGCACCGGAGCAGGGGGATCCATCGCCACCGGAACGGGCCTGGGCGTGGAAGGCGAGGGCGACGACTTGGATATGGAGCATGGGTTCAAGGAGGAGCCCCTCACTGACTATGACGGACTAGATGTCTATGGGGACTATGGGGACCTGGACCTGGAATACGAAGACAAAAAGCTGCCTGCTAAGACCGATCAGTATTTTGATCAGGTGAAAAATAATGGAAGGACATACTGGCAAAAGACATGGTCTATAAGATGAGGATGTCATGATGATGGTGTTGAAGAGGAGGGTTGGCTGATTATGTCTGTGTGTTTGGTGTGCAGGTCGACGGAGCTCGTGGCGAAAAGGGACAGAAGGGAGAGCCTGCTGTTATTGAGCCTGTGAGTATCACTATTTGAACAACATACTTCAGCAACAGATGTAGGCCGCGTGCTCTTGCGTGCACACGGGTGTGTGCGTGGATGTTTATATTTGCCAGTACATATGTATGATCCACATCCAAACACAATCAACCTCTCACTTCTGAATGACAATCCTATGGCCTAAAACATCAGGGCCCTTTCTCACAGTGTTCTTAAGCAAGGCCTCGCTCCTTCTGGTCATCAGACCCAACAGCTAAACATTTGGAGAACGGACATGCAGGGATTGTCAGTCATCTCTAAACACAGTGTGGGTAGTGTGTAAACATGGGGAGATGGAGGGAGGGAAGGGATAGAAGAACAACAAAAGGGAGCAAGAAAGCCTTTTCAAGCCTCTCTGCCAAAAAACTTTAAACTTAAAGCTTATTTTAAACACAAACAGGGTAAATACATCCAACCTTTATTCAGATACTCACACAGTATTTACAGGTGAGGACAACTCCTTTGATTTCTTTGTATAGGCACATACAGACACAGACGGAATTTATATCTCTCACACAGCTACAGCTGTTTCGCTTCAAACAAATGTCACTGAGCTCCACTAAGTATACATGGCTCTGTGACTGAGTATCTTCATGTTTATATGTGTGAGAGCAGAGAGGAGTGTGTGTGTGTGTGTCTTAAGTCCACTTCCCTAGATGACCGCTTGTGTATGTGTGAGTGTAAGCATGTTCGTGGACCACATTTGTGTACACATCACCACCCAGCATGACGTTTCCTCTTGTAAACACGCAAAAAGCGGGTTATCACACAAAAAAACACGAACACACACACACACTCCCCCCCCCAAGGTCTAGCAGCTCTTCCCATCACGCACACACTGCAGGCGAGACACGGGCATAACCTGGGGACTGTCAAAGATCAATTGAGCTCAAAACGTTGAGCAAGTACAGCTTGGGGTTTGATGGAAAACAGCACAAACTTCAAATGAGTTATGATAATGTGTGGGTTTCTGTCCTCATACCAAAAAAAAGTTTAAATGTTACCACAAGAGCAACCAAACAAAAAATATCTCTGGGGCCCAAAGAGCTGCATCTGTCGTCCACACCGAACCGAGATGGCTCTTTAGCTGTGGGGATAGATGGCAGAAATACCCTTCAATGACTTTGTTGAATAAATGTCGAAGTATAGAAGCATGTATAAACTTTTTGTCTTTTTGTCTTATTATCACATTCATGAGCAAATATTTTATCCGACAGTGTAAATTAATAATTATCACTTTAATTTCATTAGTAATCTCCTTGGCTTGTCCAGGTAGGAGAGCACCTCGGGGCGTCTTTGCCTTTCTGGCTCTGCAGTCACTCACCCTGCTTTCCTCCATAGATTAATTGATTAATGCTAAATTAACAAGGACTTTGAGATGTGGAAAGTTGATAGGCAGGTGTGTCGGGATATGTACTCACGTACACTTAGCTCCTTTAACCAAAGCCCTGTGCTAATGAACAAAGAATATGCCTGCGGGTGTGTCTGCACGCTGAGAGATCGCTGTGCACAGATATGTGCGGCCATGAGATAGACTCTTGTGGTAACTGATGATATCTGTGCTTGTGTGTTTCAGGGAATGTTAGTGGAGGGTCCGCCTGGGCCTGAAGGGCCAACAGTAAGTCTCTCCTTCTTTATTTCCTTATTCTGTATAGTCTCTGTTCTATGTATAAAAGCTGATGACGGTTTACCCAGTCTTCTAGTCCGTGCATGCTACGTCCTGTGGATAAGAACAAAAAAAAACTTTTCGTGCTTTGCTGTGAAAATCCCCCCCGGCTGCCTGATTTGTAATGCAAGGGGAGCAGCCAAAACTGTTCCCTCGAAGAGATATGGACTTGCCCAGATGTTGAAGAACTTAATTATTTATCGAGGACGATTCTTTCAGACACCGTTGCTCTTGACACCCTGCCGATGGAGTCCCACAGAGGCCAGCCATTCAAGCGTTGAGCTATAGACAAAGAAAGAGCGCCTCGCTCTGGATTTACTACTCACCAAGCTGTCCCATATTGCCTCATGCATTCCTTTCTCCCATGTGTGACCACTTTGCAAGATAAAGGCGAGGACTTTTAGTCGAGCAAATATGACTGTTTCTTTGTGATGCATTATGCGTTTATGATGTGTGTAAAATGAGATCTTTTGCTTAACTTAGGGTCTCCCCGGACCCCCAGGTTCTTCTGGCCCACCAGGCAGCTCTGGAGATTCTGGAGAGAGGGTGTGTTTAAAACTGTACATGTCACACAGATATTCAAAGCTCTTAGAATACAGAAACTAACCACATTTCTGTCCCCGTGTGTGTGCTTGTGTTTGTGTTATTTTCCATGGAAGGGTCCTCCGGGTCGTTCTGGTCTTCCTGGTGCCGATGGTCTGCCAGGAAGCCCTGGAACTGTGCTGATGCTGCCTGTAAGTACAATTATCATGTTTTCACATTTACCGACACTTAAAGCTCGAAAACATTTTCCATGTGGCTTTCATCCATGTTCAGCCTTGTTTAAAGCCAAGTATGATGCATCCTTCCCTGTGTTATCAATAACTGACATGTGGTTCACAGTGTAGTGGAATGAAGGGGGTTTCCTTTGAAACCATTTTTGATATGTAAATATGTGCTTTAGCAGCCCCTTGTGGTATGTTCAGTAACTTGGAGAGCCTCCTTCTCTATCACTTGTAGTGCTCACTCAAATCTGCATATGTAAGGGCTTTCTCTCCCGACATAGTTTTAACTAGTGCCACATTCTTTCGCCAACATTTGAGATGTCCTACCACGTGTCCTTCCAGGAAGTCGTCTAGCTGTAGACAGGAAGCAAAGCAGTGCAGTTCTCTCTGTAGCTTCAGCTGCATCTAATGGCTTTCAACCATTGCAGTTACACAGCCATGCTATCGGCTTCCTGCGCTGTCTACCTTTCTGACTTTTCTTCCCCTTGTACTTGCAAGATGTCTGATACAGCTGCTGCTGGATCTGATTAGTTGTACAGATGTGAGGTTGTGGTTTTCGGGGGTCCACATGAGGCAAGCTCCGTCTGGACAGGAACCCAAGTCGTTCTGGTGTATCCACTGGCAGAAAGCGCAGCTTGAAATCTGATCCCTGAGCTCCTGGGCTAATGGGAAACATGCATTGTTATTACGCCCTCCTCTCACCAGACGACTCTATGGCTCAGTGTTAAAAATTGTGGCTTTAAACAGGGTTGAATTGCGTTTTCTAACATGATGTCTTTGCTTAAATGGTCCAGTGACTAGAGATGCATCTTCTCTTTATTCTCTGTGCTCTGCCATAAGTCAGTGTTGTGTGAAAAAAATGTTGTAGTTCCCATCGCGGTGCTTTTCTCTTCCCCTCGCCTCTCTTGTCGACAATTTGATGTCGCGGAACATTTTGTTCAAGGTTCGATGATGCACAGGAATGTCGGTAAAGAATTGCATATTGGAGAAGGAAAGAAGAGAAAGAGAAAGAGAGAATTGAAGACACACCAAAAGGCTCACAGATTGGCAGGAAGGAAACAAAAAAAAACAAATAGCAGCATGTATTTGATTGTGACTTAAGATAGAAAAGGGAAGGGCCAATATTTAATCAAACTCAGCAAATTGAGTCAGAAGAAGGAAATGTGAGATTTACACAATGCTTGTGAAAAGTTCTGGATGTATGTGGTTTATTGTGAGTGACCTGCAGCGGCTCTGACTCATCCCTGATGTTCTAAATCAACGGTTTGTATTCTTGGTAACGACGTTTCTGTGATGGTAAAATCCTGCAGAGTATTTCACTGTTGTGTTGCTCCACGTCTGTAAACCAACGGGGACAGTCAGCCTCTCGAGGACTGTGCTCTGTAATCCAAGCCGGGATGCTTGGCCCAAACAAACCTGCGTTGCGCCACAGTCCTAGATATCCACCTATGGTGCAATGCTGGAATATCACCACCAGATGCCAGTAGAATTCGAAGCTCAAGGCAACGTCTGATGGTGCTGGTTTGACAGCTGGAGGCAGATGCTTCGTTCAACATCTGCTGCAGAGTTTCATGATGGGAATGCCGTATTAAAAAAATATTTAAGACATTGTTGGGAATAGATTCAAATGAAATATTCATGTTGCTGCAATGGCCATTTCACATTTTTCTCAGCTATTACTTTTGCCAGTGCCTTCTGTGTGCTGGTATCACCTTTGCTGCAGCGATAGTGTCACCAATCTGTGATTCCCTCCACAGTTCAGATTCAGCGCTGGAGGCGACTCTGGCCAGAAGGGACCTGCTGTGTCAGCACAGGAGTCCCAGATGCAAGCCATCATGCAGCAGGCTAGGGTAACAGTTCACACATAGACAGACTGCAGCAGTCAATATCATAGAAATGCACGTTGTTTTTTTCTCCATTTACCAAATTTGCTTCTCCTGTTAAAATAAGTCTAACTAGTTCTTATTGTGTTGTAAATACTTTTATTTTACTTGTTTTGCCATAATTGCATGAATACATTTAATTTTGACATGTGTCTCTTTGTATCTATACAGATCATTACTCTATTATCGTCATTCATTTTCTTTATTTCATCGTTACATTTTATTACCCAACCGTTGCTCACAAGCATGCATAATTCATGTGCAATTTCACACAGAACACATGAACACACATAAATACACTTACAGCACACACACACACACGCAAATGGATTTACATCCATGTTATATTTAATCATACATCAGCTACATGTACAGCAGCCTTCAATGTTATACATTCTTCTATATATATATATGTATATGTATACATATACATATATATAATATATATGTATATGTATATATATATATATATATATATA